CCCATATTTTGAGTTATTTGTGGCGGCCCGTCACAAAATCAAAACTGACCGCCACAAATAGATTTTCCAAAAGGATTCTACTTCGTTGAATAAACTGAGCACTGCACGTTTCAAAATTAAAATGCAGCGCGGGTTTTTTTTATATGACTGTATAATTGAAAAGAACCAACCGTCTTCAGAACAGCTTTGATGTCATTTTAATCTCGTCTTTCCTAGCGTTTTGTAGTTGATTACAGCCATTACCGGGGAAACCGCTATATCTCCGCTCCAACAGCGCCTCCTGCTGGCAGAGAATGAATTAGCATTTGCAAGTCTGTGGGAAACATTGGTGTCTGTCAGCAAAGATAAACAAAAAGCATGGTTCAGAACTGTTTTGAGAAGGTGCTTTGAGCCATGTATTATTACTATGAACAGATTTGGACCTTTGATATAGACTTTGAGAACCCCTGCTGTATACGATAATATATTCAGAATTTAAATAAAACTTGTGTTTTTCATGCTTGACAAGCGGCCACGTACGACACAGAGATAGCTACTACACTATATAGAAAAAGATAATTTCAGAAGCACAGATGTGATTCTGCAACCGAGCCTGGTCCAAACGCAGGATTTAGGTAAGGTAATGTATTTCGAGATTTCACCCCTTAGTCCAGCCATAAGTCCAGTGTCACTGTTAGACCAGCTATATGTATTTGTATATTATCTCATTCAAAAAATCATGAAAAAAATCTAAAACACCATTTTCATTTTTCATAAGTAGCCCAGTTAAATATAATACGCACATTAATTAAAACTTCATAAAGGCCTCTATTTTGTTTACTTTTCAACTACTGTTAATATTCAAGAAAACAAATTCACTATAATGTTTTTTTAAAAGGTCAACAAAGACAAAAAAAAAAATTACGAGGAGACAGTAAGGCTTATCCAGAAGCCCACTGTGTTGAAGAATGTCATTATATATCACCCAAATGTTATTTTAAAGTACGTTAACACAGCTATTCCCACTCAACAAGAGTTCATCGTCGCCACGTCTGTCAATCTCTGAAATACAAAAAATTTACAAAAACACAGTAAAAACAGCAATATTGTGAAACTTATAACATTTTTTTATATATATATATTTTAAAATGTAATTTATTCCTGTGATAGCAAAACTGAACCTGTGATAGCAAAGCTGTCTTCACATGATCCTTCAGAAATCACTCTAATATGCTGATTTGGTGCTCAAGAAACACTTCTTATTATTAATTTCTTATATTATGTTGAAAATAGCTGTGTTGCTTAATATTTTTGTAGAAACATACTTTTTTTCAGGCTTCTTCTGTAACACTATGAATGAAACTATTAATTTTTGTTTATTTTTTTTTTTAAATGTACTGAGCATTGTGTATGTAGCATCTGGTTTTTGGAAAACACAACAGGCGTGACTGGGTGTAATTTAAAAACATAATGTTAAAGTCTCTTCAAGTAGTGTTAACCACAGACCTATTTTACATACTAAACTGAAAACTGCTATGCTAAAAATCCATTCTCCTCCAGCTTTTAGGACTATGAACAGCTCTATAAGGAGGCTTCTTCTATTTTTGTTCTTTTTTCCCCTCAAATTCCTGTTCTCCAAAAGCATTTGAATCAGGGCCTGACCTCTCCTCCCATTATGGTCATTTAGCGCTGCTTGCTATTGCACTCCAGACAGACTGTCTTTAAGTATTAATGACTTCATCAGCAGTTCTTTTAAATTACCCATTAAGATGCAGTTTTGTCCGATCCTTTACTGCTGGGTCTGCTTCCTCTCACCAACAGCTACAGATCTCACCATGTGAGAAGGAACAAAGCCTGAAGTCTATTAGGGAGACGAACACTTCTTTAAGTTTCTGCTTGTTCTGAAGGATTATTTCCCAATGAAGCGGCCAAAATCTGTATCATGCCAGGTTAGTAACGGTAGTTTTACATACTAAATGAAATTAAATGATTTGAAGATAGTGTGTTGTTGTTTCTGCCAACTGCCAACTGTAAAAGCCTTGGTTGTCAGACAGGGAATGCAATAAAAGTGAATATTTTGTTTTTATAGACAACTTTATGCATCACATTTTTATTTCACAACCTGCTGGTTTATTGCTTTCTCTTACCATAAACCGCATTTGTATGGCTCTTCTTTATCTAAATTAGTAAAATCATTCATGGATGGAAAGACTTTGGCTACTTTGCAGGATTTTTCATCATTATAGACACATTAGCTATTTTATGCTTCTCCCTTTATTTATTTTTATGTTGCTTTCATTTTTTGTATTTCACAGACCAAAGACGGAGACAAATTTGCATTTGTTTAGTAAAGCTTTTCGAAGAAACACAGTAAGCTGCATAGGCTGTTGACTAGTTATCTGCCTTATATCACTCATACCGTGTTACCTTTGACACATTCCCAAAATATTACCAAACACAAATCTATTAAGTAAATCAGAATTTTTGTTTCTATATCTGCAGCACCGCACTAGGTAGCCACGTCCACAAAATCTCATTGGTCCAAAATCCAGCTCCACATAAAAGTACATTTTACATCAAAGATCTTCTGACTGGCTGGGACTGCATTATGTACCTCAGCAGTTTTCAGTTCTGCATGGACGGATGATTTTGTAGAGACATTTTACAACCCCTAGGATTGAAAACAAATTCTTATTCAGAACAGGTTCCAATGATACAAAAAACACCAGAACTGAATAATTCTTGTACCTGCATTCCTCCAATGACAATTACATGTTGTCTGCACTACCTATTCAATGGGACTATAAAACTGTTATGAAATTTACAACACAAATGATATTGTCCAATTATGATATTCTTAGTGGTGTTTCAAAAACATGCAATGCAACCAGTGCAGTCCAATTTCCAAAGAAGTGACTCCTAGGAGTTGGTTCTTTTTTAGTGGATCAAAAACACACATCGCTAGTAGAGTCCAATTTTCCAAATGAATGACTCCAATGTGTTGTTGGTTTTCAGTGGATCAAAAATATACAGCGCAACCAGCGTAGTCCGATTTTCAAATGAATGACTCGTATGAGTCACTGGTTTTTAGTGGATCAAAAACATAGCACAACCAGTGTAGTCCCATTTCCAAACAAATTTCTTCTATGAGGCTGTTCTTTTTAGTGAATCAAAAACATACAGCGCAAACTTTCCAAAATATTTATTCCTTAAATCTTAATGAAACAGTGAAGAAACTAGAATCGTTAAGAGGTAACCAAAACTGTTAAATTATTCTCAATTCGCTTCCCTAAAAACAACTGAACTTAGATTTATTTCTGTACATCTTTTCCTAATCTTCACTTGATTGTTTTACTTATTTAATGCAATTATCCAGCTTCCACTTTTAGCATGACGTTCAGAGCACTGCTGAGCCGTCTCAAACACAATGCTTTTTTTTCCTCACCTTTGCACCATAGATAGAGATACAGATAGTTTATTCAGACCCCTTGTCTCATTTCAGGGTCTTGAGAAGCTATTCAGAGAGGCAGCATTTAGATGTAAATCTGGCTGATATAAAACCCTGCTATTGTGAGATAAGGAGGTCACAGATGTCATCGCAGTGTCTTTTATGTGATAGCTGTTCAGAGACGATGAGCTAGGATTGAACCCTGAGGTGACATAGCGGCGCACTAAACAGGACAGAATGTGTCTGCGTCAACCTTCTCCCAGCGTGGGCTCCGCACGCACACACAAACACACGTGCATACGAAAAAACACCCGTGATTCGCACCACAATGCCAGTCATTTTTCCTCCTCATTGCACCCGATTTCATCAGAACTGCATGTTTCATCTTGACCTGCAAAAGGGTTGACTGACTACGACAGCAATGCAGATGAGTGGGTGAGAAATGCAAAGCTTCTGTTGGATACTAAGCTCTGACAGCAAGTTTGTCTTCATGAATATGGGTCTTCCAATAAAATGAAGAAAGAGAAAAGGTCAAATGTTAGTGGTAACATAGTAATGCTTTGACTATTATTTGTTTTTGTTTTGTTTTTAGTCCATAAACTATGCTATTGTGGGCTATTCAATTTGAACTCAAAATTTAAGTATTGTAGCTTACAGTCTATGTGTTACCTTTAATGTCATCTATATGCTACTATACTCCTAGAAGTTGAGAAAAAGTCTTTTAGCAGCTAGATATATATTTTTTGGCGAAAACAGATAAAAAAAAAAAGATAACTCTTCTAGCACTTGTGGTTATATCCAAAGATTTGTCCAAAAAAATATTAGCAATAGCAAAGCAAGAGCATGGCTGTCTACAAAAAAAAAAAAAAGGCTAGGCACAACTAAAGCCTATTGGCTATTTCTAAAAAATAAGTGACACCCCAACTTCCTGTTTCAATAGGTTCTTTCAACATAAGAAAGAAACCTGTGCTTGTCAAGAAATTTCATTCAATCTTAAAAGCACACTTATGTTCTGACATCTCAGGCTTTTCCCTATTCCCTGAAATATGGGAAAGGTACAGCTGAAAGAATAAAATGCAATTTGCTCTTTAAAGGTCAACTTTCTAAATGTTCCATTTGCACGGTTTATGAAAAAGGTTTCGCTTGATTTGCATGAATATTTAACAAGCCACCACAAACAGCTTAACCTGAGTTTACCACAGGCTCTGTTTCTTACATGCATTCATTTACTACTGCTTCTCAATCTTAGCTAAAATAATATCCATTAAAGATGGAGTACGCAGTATGTTATGCTTTTAACGTATAACATGCAATATCTCATTATGCAAATTAGCAGAAAATTGTGCTAAAATGGATCAAAATGCACATTTCAAAGATGCGTTTTCATGTGAGTGGTTGCCTTCCACACACTCACCCGATGACAGCCCAGCTCCACTTCAGGGGTAACATCCCTGGCCTAAAAAGGCAAAACATAATGCCGTTGCTGCCAGGGAATCTAAGAATAAACCACACAGTCCAGTCACAGATAAGGTTACCTTGAAACCCGTCCTCCCCTCTCTCCCATGTTTCCTGACCCACACACATCATGGGCTGGTAACAAACATAAGGACATCATAGGGCTTGATTTGCTCTTTTGACAGCCTAGCCTTGTTTTTTCCCTTCCTGCTGGTACTTGGTCCCCAGCTGGAAGTGTATAGTTTTTTTTTCCTATGCCACTTTAAGCAACAGGTGACTTTTTTTTTTTTTCCTTCCTTGTAGGGGGCCCTGGCCCAAGCACAAGTTTTATTGGGACTCTAACAGGAAAGGCACAGAAAGACACTGTGGTGCTTTTGATTGAAAACTATTCCGGACCGGGGAATTGACTCTTGAGATTGTGCTTTCAGCCTGTTAGTGCATGAGAGAGATGGAAGGTACTGTCAACTTCATTTTCCAATTACATTTCTAAGTGCGTTTAACAATAAGGTGGTGTAAGTCAAATAAATGTTAGTGTATGTAATGTAAATTGTGGTACTAACAGCACACAGCCAAGCACTTTAAGTTAACTTAGTCACTTAGTCAAGTTAACTGTCTCTTAGACAGCAACCATCTGCTTTGCAGGGGAATTTTGTGGTTGAAAGCAGCTAAAAATACAGCATATCATATGGCTCTATGGGAATTTGTAGTCCTTTGAAGCAGGCCTCTAATGTTGTTGCAGCTTTTTAAGGGTTTTAAGGTAGCATTATCAACTGAAATACAGTTCAATCAGCTAGAGAGGAAATATATTTAAAGGAATAGTTGACCCAAAAATTTAAATTAACTTACATTTCAAACAATTCATGAAGTAATTTACTTATCTTCATGCCATTCCTAACCCATATGACTTAATTTCTTCTGTGGAATACAAAAGGAGAAATTACAAAGACTAGTCAATATTTTTTCCATGCAATTACAATGAACAGTGATTGAAGCTTCAAAAAGGACACAAATGCACCATAAAAGAGGTCAATGCAACTTGTACATTCTTCTGAAATCACTGCAATGAGATCACTGAGTCAATGGTTTTGGTTTAAGCTTGGACTAGCTTAAATCATGAATAAATCACTCACTGAAAAGATTTGATTCAAGAGTGATTCATATACAAATCAACTATCACTATTTCTCTCAAGAATGGCAGATGTCAAGATTATCAGTGACTGACAACTTACATTTAAGTCTGTTTCACAAAGTTATCGTATGCTTTTTAAAAACTTGGAATAAATTTATAGTAAGTCATGTGGACCACTTTTGTAGCTCCTGAAAAACTTCAGTCCCCATTGAAAGCTTAAGGTTACAGTGTCTCTGCAGAACATTTTCATTGATAGTTGATGTCATTTAACTCCTAGATTTAGAAGTGCGGTACTCTCAAAGGTTTTCCCAAGACACTGAAACCCTGTCAGTTCCCAAACCAAAAAAGAAATGTTTAAAAAGTCTGAAACCTTTTTAAAGTCATTATCAGTGACTTGAGATAGAGTTTCCAAAAAAAGCCAATTATTGATGTCAAGGGCCTGCACAAATGAGCCCCAGTCTTGCGTGAAATGGCTTAATGTTGCAAAGACTTAAAAGTAAATTTGACATTCTGATTAAACTGTGAAAAGTCTCTCAGATCAGCCTGAATAAATCATATTTAAAGTGACACTTGAGGGAATAGTGTTGCAGAGTGTTTTTTGTACTGACTTCATTGTCTCAACAGCTCTCACTTACTAACCTGGGATTAGTTGCCATGGATGTCCATACACTGATCTGAGGAGGACAAGGTCTTATATTAAAATAAGCAATGAGAAAAATGTAATTTCTTGGGCCACCTTCCACTGCTTTCGGGTTTACAATGCAGCAAGAGTTGAAGTGGCATTTGCGCACCGTGTTGCCATGGAAAGATTTCTCCTAAGCCTTCTGTGTACACTATCTGCGATCTTATGTTTCTGTATGATCAGATACTGAAGCTTGTAGACAATCTGCAAGGGCAAAGTCATGATAACACATAGAAAGATGCAGCAAAACTCCAAACCAGATGCCGCTAAGCATATAGTGTCTACTGAAAGATTCTTGAGTCAGCATTTGGATTGGACGTCTAATCCTAAGTTTGACAACAGGGACCATGTGAAGAGCTGCAACAGGTGGTCTTAGCTAACACTTCTGGTGTGTGACGTGTATCAAACCCCCCCACACAGGAACACATCATTATCTGTGAGCCTAGAGTAGAGGTAGCAGAAAACTGGTTCTCTGAACAAAAGGGCCAACATAAATAAGAACCACTGCCCTGATCTTGCCTAAGATTCACAATGGATCATCCACAAATACATTTCTGTAAACACAATCAAAGCGGTTTGTGCAAGAATAAATAATTTACAATGACTTAAGTCAACAATATTGGCAAAGATTAATAAAGGGGTCTAGTAAACGTAGCAGCGCATATTATGAAGGTTACATGTGCCGTATGTTTGGACTCTCTAGCTGCCACAAGAATTTATATCAATTTAGAAAAGAGGCTTTTAAAGGGGCTCCGGTCAACAGATGACACACTGCCAGCATTCCTCTTGTGGCCTTGGAAATTTGTAATGATGAAGCATTGCTATTGCAGATGTGTGCCCTATCTACAGACAACAAGTTCAATTCAATCTCTCTGCCAGGCAATGCACTGATAAAGTTAAAAAGCAAACATTCATCTGCTGTCTAGCTGTCTTTGTCTTTATAACTCTTATGTCCTGTCTGCACTAAGAGTGAGCAATGTGACAGAACTAGACACCTTCCAATGTAATGTGCATACAATAGACAGATTCTTTGAATAGCACTGAGAATCAAAAGCTGTTTCCATACAAAATGCATGTAAAAAAAAAAATCATACTATTGCCAAAAATATTAGAAAACAAGGTGTTGTTTCCATCCCATGTATTAAAAAGTACAGAAATTAGTGCAAAAAACTGTAGAAATTGAAGTTGCAGCCAATGCGGCTCATTTATAAAACATAAATTACTTGCTATTTAGAGTGTGCAGACAAAATACTCTTTGTTTTGTCTGTAGATGCTCTACGCAGACAAAATAAACTGTTTGTAAACTATCACCAGCAGATGCCTTATAAGGGAGTTAATAGTAGCCAATCATCTGAATCATTTGAGTAGTTCACACTAAAACTTCTTAGCATTTACGTACCCTCATTTACTCACTTGTATGAGTTTCGTTCTTTTCTGGAACACAAAATAGATATTTTGAAAATTTTCATCCGTTTTTGTCACTATTATGAAAGCCAATCAGGCCCAAAACTGTCAAACTCCAAGAAGAACAAATATAGTATGAAATTAATCCATGAGTTGTATATTGTAGGTCCTCTGAAGTGACACAATCACTTTGTATGATGAATATTTTGATCAAATAAAGCCAAAACGTATAGAGGAACTGACATCATTTCTATTTCTAAGTGTTCATTGTACCTAGTTTGATATTGGTTCAAACTCTAACCATCTAAGCTCTAACACAACTAAGATGTCAACTCCACCTGTGACTACTACTGAATTAAACTGGACCAGATATTTAGCATAAATAACCAGCTTGAACCAGTTTGAAACCATGTAGAATGGTTTCTTGTTGTTTAACACCTGTCTTGTTTGCATTTATACATTTCCAAATCTCCATCTGTCTTAACAGCGCGGTCCTCCACCACCATGACTACCATAGTCGAGACCAAGAATGACGTGAGCGCACATCCCACACGTTCATCCAAACGCACCTTAACGGATGACCTTCACACCACGTTCAGCTCCCCTGTGGCCTGGATCCTCGTGCTGGCTCTCGTTGTAACCTGGTCGGCCGTGGCCGTCATTATGTTTGACCTGCTCGACAGCAAGGATCTTGAAGGTAGGTCCAGCTCTCTTATCTTGGTGTAATTCCCTTCGATGGAGAGTTATTTTGGTACAGTTGTCCTGAAGAGATTGTAGCTTGGGCGCAGCAGTCAATTTTTACATTGGCTACCTGATTGGGGTCTTTATATTATTTATTAACTCTCGGCTTAAAGTAAAACATGACTCAGATGAGGAGTAATTGGATGCGTGGACGAGTCTTTACGATGTGATAAAGCACCAAGCTTGTTTTCTTGCTGGAAGTTTATCAGCAGTGCCACAGGGCAAACTTGTGAGGCTTCTAAGAGCAGGAGGGAGGGATATTGACTGGTTCCTGATAGCATTGACAGTGACAAGGATAGATAGGGTGTCCTGTTGGCCGGGCTGCTATCAGCCACCGCTGCATTCACATGGAGTCAGAGAAAAATCCTTGTAGGACACGGTTTTACCTTGTATTACCACCTGATGATACATTAGAATCCATTGTTGATGCCAGGAAGATGATAGAATGACTTTGGATTCGAAATTGCTTGAAGTTGCAGTCACTTGTTCCTCAGTGTGATTCAGTAGTTTCATAATGACAATTTTGAACTCCTTCAACTGTTTAATAAAACTGTCATTGTTAAATGGATCTATCACTGTCATTGAGATCACATCTCATTTACAATTCATTCCATCACAAGCTCTAGAACACAAGCACATTAACCCATTTTTGAAAGTACTTCAGAAAGGAAATATTAGACTTTCATGTCATGTAGTTAACTACATGACTGCACCGCCCCACATTAGGTGTCACATTTACATTTACTTATTTCTAATAAGTTTCCCTCATTTTTCCACCCTGTCCATCACCATGTGTCATCCTGTTGCCATCCAATAAAAAGCCCATACTTTATACTGTGACGACCCCTGTTTACCACCTGGTAAAGACTCTCTGCCTGCAGTTCAGTGCTAATGCCAGTTTTTGTGTGTGTGCTTGTATGTTTTCCTGCATGCAAACAGGGAGCAACTGTCACTCTCATCTCAAACATTCATTCGGACATGCAAATTTACTGAACCATGTAATCTGTCATGAACACAATATCACTTCCTCTAGACTGTCATGCATTCCATTCAGTGTGACACTACACCTTTGACTTTATCGTAATGGCAAAGTGAATTGTGGGACTAAGTTCACTTTGAAAGCAGATTGCACAGTGCTTTATGGTAATGGAAAAGTGATTGCTTCAGATTTCAGAGATCTGATCGGGTTTTACATTTACTTCAATCATCTCCATAAAAAGCGAAATCTCATATGGAGTGCTTGTACTGTATAAGACAATGCAGAACTGTGACATGAATGTTTTTTTTTTTTTTTGCAGTATATAGAGAAATATAATCTTAATCAGAATTTTTGCTTTACATTAGTAATATCTAAACAACTATAAAACAAGAACAATTTACTTCATAGGCAAAAATAAGAAAGTCACTGGTTTTGACAGAATGTATCTAAACCACTGGCAAAGCGTATGAACTCCTGTTTTGAGCATAGTTCACAAAAGTTAACAGTGCATATTAAAAAAGTAAAAATAAAAATAAAAAGGTGTTGTGTCACCAGAATGTACAAGAGTGTTAGTCTTTCATTTTCCTGTGCATAAAATAATGGTTTATGTTGGTCTCAAAATTAAACGTACACATTGCAAAATAACATATTTGTAATTCCAGACATTACAAATAATAATAATAATAATGTTTCAAATTATATGTGTATATATATATATATATTTATTTTTTTTTTCTTCAAATTTGTAGTTCCAAATGTTGCTGTGCAATGAAATGCAACATGAATCTAAATTAAGCTCAAGAGACAAAGAAATCTTCTTTCCCATTATATTAAAAAAATATGTAGGTTTTATCACAAATGTCATAAATTCAGACCTCATATCATATGGGCTTTTATGAGGGGTATAAAACAGTATGGCATCATCAAAATGCTTGCGGCATTGATTTCATCAGAAATACAATAACATAAAGGGAATGAACACCATTTTGATTCTAAGTGCAAAATGGCCCCAAAAAAAATCATGCACATGCTGCAACGATGTTAACAAGAATCTGAAATTCTCAGAGCAAAAATATACTGACATTTTTTATTCAAAAAGTGCACTGTATATAATTTCAGAGACTTTAAACCATAATTTTATTTGAGACAGCATGACATCAATAAGCTTTGTGCCAACTGCTCCCTTCCACCCTATGATATCCAACATCCATGTGTTGACGTCTACTTTGCGATATTGCTTTCTATAAGCCTCAAATTATTCACTTCAATCAATTAATTTGACTCTAACATCGATAACTATGCTTTGAAAGCACTGAAGCGTGACTTCGTTTATTAACTGTGTGGTATTGAACGGCAACTCCTCTTTGCCATGCAGAATGATTTGATTTTTTTTTTTTCATTAAATGCATTGAGCAAAACAATGATATTTCACCTGTAGAATATTAATGAAGTATTCTATGTTGCAGATTTCTCACTTTCTTTTCAGGAGAAATATATACTTTAATTTCCCTCTCAAAGCACAGCTAAGCCTGGAGAAATGGGCTACGCGATGCGGAATCATGGGGAGGAAGTTGGCGCTTTGGCTCGTCTTAACACAGCCTTGCATTTACAGAGTCTTTACCATTTGTCTTCAGGTGGTCTATAAGAGTGGTTCTCAACTGGTTTTGCTTCAGAACCCAAATGTTATAATGTACATGACGAACCAGCACAGTACTAAACCTTTCTAAAAAAGTAAACAGAAATATCCATAAAAACAAACAATTAATTAATATTTATTTTAGTCTTTTCTATTATCAATGTTTTTTTTTTTTTGTTTGTTTAGGATTAAGGGATGTCAGGCAACATTTTCATGTTTTCTGTCCAATTTGCACCAGAAGTCCCACCAGTTGAGAGCCACCAGTCTGCAAAAAACAAAAACATTCATAAGAGAACATGTACTTCCACCAATTACACTGAATGGCAAGAATATTGTGATGGCAATAAATATTTTTTAAAGGTATAAGACATATCAGGATTAAACGGACACTGCCACAGATAACAGGACATTATGTATAATTAAAAATTAATTAAAAATCAACACTTTGTGTGAACATACAGTATAATACAGAAATACTTCATGGCTGGTAACAAACTTTTCGAGTTCACTTTACTGTTGGAAAGCTGTGGTCATGAAAATAGGAGTAGAGCTCAGAGGACTGTGCAGCGAAAGTGAAGGGTGAAGCTTCACTCACTTTCAAGACAAGATTCAAAGACCACTGTGTTCCCCAGTGGTGTGACTGAGATTCTTTTGAGAATCATTCCCCTCATGCCTGTGTTTCTAAGATGTGGAATAGTCTAGTGTCCTCTTTTTGCCCTGGAGCCTCAGTCACATAACTGGTCTATGCAACTCTATAATTCTAAGAACAACTTAGATCAACATAAGTGGTACACAAACAGTATTCACTTTCCAAGCAACTGCATCAGAGTTCCTCAGAACATTGTTAAAATTGAAACAAATCTCATACAAAATATTGGTAGCTGTAATGAATAGAACCAAACCTAATATTTGTCTATTATACTGCCATGTTCTTTCATATTTCTTGTTGGTCATGGAGTAACATTACGATCAACCTATCTATTTTTCATTCAGGAGCATTTCCTACTTGGCAAAACCCCAGTCAGCATATCATAGCCATAACAAACTGCAGAGCTAGTGTTTCAAATATGCAGAATATTATCATGCACATTAAGAAATCGATTTTTACCACCAATGACATTCTCAAAATAAAAAGCCAATCCTATATGTTCCTCTATATGTTTTGGCTTTAGAGGATTAGGATTTAGATTTTTTTTTTATTCACAAAATAAAAAAAACATTTTCTTGATAAGAATTTTCAGTCTTCTTTTCCATTATTTTTCATACCCAATTGGCAAATTATTAATATATAGCATTAATATATTGCATGCATAAATCTAACAAAATTCATTGAGGTTTTAAAGGGGTCATATGATGCGATTTCAAGTTTTCCTTTCTCTTTGGAGTGTTACAAGCTCTTGGTGCATAAAGAAGATCTGTAAAGTTGCAAAGACTAAAGTCTCAAATCCAAAGAGATATTCTTTATAAAAGTTAAGAGTCAACCACGCCTACCTAAAACGGCTCGTTCTAACACGCCCCCACATGCTTATCTTATACTAGAAACATATCTTTCATGTACATTAATCTTTTTTAAGCATGTTTAAAGAAAGAAAGAAAGAAAGAAAGAAAAAGAATCCAGATTAAGAAAACAATTTCTGCATTTATACAAGGAGCAGGCATATTGCTATATCATAGATAAGATTGAAACCAGCACATCTGTGCTCTGAACTCTCTGCACTTTGTCCTCAAGATATGTTTAAAACAAAGACAATTATTCAGTTTGAGCTCACTGTATCTTTACTTAAGCATTCATCTGTATGGCTTTGTGTATCTCATATTGATTTCAATGGTTCAGCAGCATTGCCCAGAGAAAATTGTCCATGGTTCAGATATATTTTATAGCTCAGAAGATTTATTGGAATTATTTGTTATAGATATCAACTTTATCTTACATTTTGTCTCGGTAGGAGAAATAAAAATGGAAACAAATATGATACAGAAACACATAATTATTGGGGTTATATAGCATGTTAGATTATTGGTATTTTTTGCAAATTTTGGTTTGTTGGCAAATCTGATCAGCTTGAGACACAGCTGAGAAATCTAGAGGGTTCTCATGTGAGATTATAGGGTCTTCCTCTAATCAGAAATAAATGAGAAGCAGAAGACATAAGCAAAAGTTTCCATTTGCTCTCATTTTATTCTTATTGCTGTCTAGAGATATTAAAGAAATCTCATTTGTAATTTTCCTTTCCTGTGAGTTTACATGCCATACTCAAGCACCCAAAAATGTAAAATGTTGTCAGTTTTGAGTGTGAGAGCTTAGAGGGCAATACTGAATTTCCATAAAATAGGTTAAAAAGTTAATCAAACAAATGTCACTGAATTCATCAGTATTGCATTAGCATTTCTATGTAAAGGAGATGTCACAATTACGTTATGAGGCTTGAATTTCAATGCAGCCAGAAGCAGACGTGAGAAAAAAAAGAGAGTGTGACAATTCAATTTGCTATGAACCAGTAAATGCTCTAAAAAGAGAGACCACAATACAGTGACTTATGTAACACATACACACTATATATGTATCCTGCCCGTTGTACCTGTTTATTTATTTTTTGCTAAATGTTAATGTCTGCGGTTTAATTTTCACTCAGCCGAAGTGTTTTTGTAATCACTGTGACATGGATGACAACATGATATGTCTCTTTTCACACCTTCACTGTGATTTTGTGCCATAAGTGTGATTGTGTTTTATTTATAATGGTGGCTACATTATCTTTTATCTTGCCTACAGTTTTTTGAGCGTGTTCAGTGAGGATGACCCAGTGAGAGTGTGTGTATACATTACTGTATGTGTGAGTTATTATCCCACACCTCTGCTTCTGTGTCTCTCATCCTTACAGGACCTCAGCCACACCGTGTCAGGAAAACATTAAAGGAAGCAGGCAGCCTTAGAGGCAAGCCATCTTATATCTTACACATACAGTAGTGGTCTTGGTAGGCAACAAATTTGAAGTGGTTATTTAAATGACTAAACCAAGGTCATTGTAAGGTATTAAAAATGTGACTAGAAAAAAAATTAACTGTAAATTTAATTCGGTCATCCTGAACGGCATCTTCAAGCAGCATTCTTAAGAGAAATAACCCCTCTACAATGTCAAGGTGAATGTTTTTGTAGCTCTATAAATGTGATGTGTGCAATTTTCATTTGCTCTAAAATATTGACTCGTTTCCCAATTTAATTTGAAGAAAATAAGTTATTCACGTCGATTCTGCAGAAAAACATTGCAATCAGTGGTGTGAGATCTGTTTGCCTGGTCAATGGAAGACAGGTAACTAACATAATGAATTATAATCAAGCAATATCAACCTAATAGGCTTTTTAGATTTACAACGTTTTGAAACTATAATAGCTTTACTGCACATCTAATGTAACTTCACAAGCTGATTTTAACACATTCTTGAGAATTTTATAACTACTACAAATTATAGTAGCTGGCCGCCAGAATATTCTATAATCAAATACTAATATATTCTAACAGGGGTAGTAAAAACATGAGGGTGTTTAGAGGCTATAATGGAGGTCTGAGGAGTCTGGAGTCTGTGCATGCTGTCACGTCACCCTTGCATAATGGCTTCTGGTAAAATGGCTTTGACTCGGGTCATGCTGTTCGCCTGCTGATAACTGCAGCCAGACAGGCACTACATGACGATGTGTGAAACATGAGTATTCCTGTCAATGGGCAGTGGAAAGCAGGAAAACCCAAAAGTCTCCCTAAATGAAAACAAGTTTTCCTGACTTGGCATTTATATTTGTAGCTGCATATGCAAACATACATGCACTTAGCTTTTTTCTGTGGATGTGCAGTCCTTTTCACTGCTGAATTTTCCAGTGCAGTCATTAGTTTGTCTTATTGAAGATGTCATTCAGGATCGATAGCACACTGATAATCTGAAAATAAAAGCAGCACACAGAACATGGCCAAAAGTATATGAACATCTGCTTCTAGTGAAATGCTTTGGCTATTGCAGCTACAAAATTACTAAAAAAGCATACAATGAAGCACACAGTCAAGCAAGTTGTTTAAATAAGGACTTTCAGACTTTCTGATAGCAAGGACTCCTGAAATGATGATCTAATCTCAACAAAGAACTTTGTTACTAAAATATTTAATATTATAAGAAGAATGATAATATAAAGATAACTTGTCTCTGAAATCAAATAATAGCTTTTTACACCATCATTAAAAATTATATATATATATATATATATATGTTTTTTAAATATACTATTTAACACCTTTTTCAAATTTTATATATATAATTATACATTTAATACAATATAAATAATTTCTAATTTCTATTTTCTACCCAATGCAAGAGCAAGATATACCTGTATATAAAAGCAAAGAAACATTTCTAATTCCATTTACTATATATATATATATACACATACACATATGCATATGTATGTATCTATATATATATATATAGATACATACATATGCATATGTGTATGTGTATATATATATATATATATATATATATATATATATATATATATATACACATACACATATGCATATGTATGTATCTATATATATATATATATATATATGCTACAATCTATGCACTTGGTTACTGTTAAAACATTAAAACATGACCATATTATCATAGAATAAATTACAAAAAAACAAAACAATTAATTACATTATTTCTAGGCTAGTAAGCAGTATGAAAAAGTAATAATGTCCAATTCAAACAACAACAGCAACAAGTGAACAAACTGAATGTCTGAATGATTTTGAAACTACAAATGGTTAAAGCGTTAAAAAGTTAAAAAGTCTTCACATACTTTTGGCCATATAGTGTAATTTGTTAGTAATTACTTTTGATTTGGATGATATACAGATAAAGATTTTTAAGTGGTTTTGTAGAGCATTGAGAGTCAAAAGACTGTGATAGGTTTGAGGTTTTCACTGATAGGTTTGTTAGAGCTGGTTTAAATGGCTGTGAGTGAACGTATGTTGAGCGTATGGAAACATGTGTCTTAAGATGCCCTGTCTAAAACATGCTCTTAGGAGGTATTCAGCACATCAGCCCTGATCCCATGAAGGCGGTGAGTGAAGCCATGGACGACTCTGCCGATTGGATAACGTCAACCTTGAGTTTTATGACTAATTTGCTAGCACCAGAAGAGGAGGAAGCGGAAGGTATATTAACTTGTAGCCTTCATTCAACATTAGCAGCACGATTCCATAACAAAGTGTTTACTGTAATATCAACAGCATCTCAGAAACCACAGACTAACCCACAGCGGTTTGATCTGATGAGCCATGTGTACTAATAGGTCTTATTAGAAATCTGAGCTGACTTTTATGGTCACGTTTTCCCCCTTCTACAGAAAAAAACCTGCTTTAAATGGTCTCCCAAAGGGATTAAAGAATATCATGATCATTTTTTGTGGCAATATTTTATTTCAAGCAATCTATATTCTCACATATTATCACAAGATCAGCTAGAAAATTCTAAATGATGTGTTTCATAACTAAGAAATATTAAAGGATGGGTTATTGTTTTACAGTTTTACACTTCAACGAAGAGTTTTGAGAAAGAGGACGAGGAACTGTCAACCCTAACTCTGTGCCACATGTGTGATTCTACAAAATAATAAAAATCAAACAAAACCGTATCACATCTCTGTCATTAATCTCTCACATCAAATCTTCTTGGTTTCGTTTGATAATATAGTTATTCAGTGTTTGATTCACAAAGACTCACACATACTATACTTGGTAAAATTGATTTAAAAATGTTTTCATTTATGTTTATTTTATTTAGGAGATACATTCATAAACTCACGGATAAGAATGCAAGCATTAGTAATTGATCCAAAGGGGACAACATAAGTAATGCTTCTGTACAGAATTTCCTTTAAGTACTAGGATAGTATACATAGAGAATAGATTACATTATATTATAAAAAAAAATATATTATGATATAATATAATAAAAATAATAATATAAGAAGGTTATAAAGATGGCTAAAGTTTTGTTCTGTGGTTTGAATGAGGATAAATATAAACAATGTTCAGTGTTGGGAAGGTTACTTTGGAAATGTAATAGGTTACAGATTACAAGTTACCCTATTTAAAATGTAATAGTAGTGTAACTTTTTCAATTACTTTATTAAAGTAATGTAACTGATTACTTTTGACTACTTTTTGATTACTTTTCTAAATTTCTAATCAATTTTTATTTGCAACTGTTAATCATTTTCAAACATTTACACCATGCAGGGTTAACCTTACAGTAGT